GGGGGGCTCGGTGGCAGCGGGTGGCTGGCTCGAGCTGTGCCAGGTGCAGGGTCTGCTGGCTGGGTGCTGGCAGGCTTGCACCTGACATGGGCACCGTAGCCAGCCTGTGCCCCTTTAAGGGGTCCGGGGCCGGGAGGGGGGCAATAGAGTTTCCCTGGTGTTGGCCAGAGTGGCCACCAGGGCAAGCTGGGAAGGGCTAGCCTCCCACTAGTTCGAATTAAGGGGCTACACACCCTTTAATTCGAACTAGTAAGTTCGAACTAGGCTTAGTCCTCGTAAAATGAGGTTTATCTAGTTCGAACTAAGCGCTCCGCTAGTTTGAATTAAGTTCGAACTAGCGGAGCGCTAGTGTAGCGCCTATCAAAGTTAATTCGAACTAACGTCCGTTAGTTCGAATTAACTTTGTAGTGTAGACATACCCCAAGAGTAGGTGCACACACAGCCCCAGAAAACACATGTGTGCTCAGGTTCACCTGCACAAGCAAAACAAATATATTGATCTGGAAATATACATACACTTTCCCTAAACACAAATGCTTGTGCAAACACAAGCGTGCCCACAGTCACTCTTGCCTGCATGTGCCCATGCCTGCATAATCTTTCATTTGGGATGTGAAAGGTTAACTGGTAGGGGCTGGAGCAGCTCCTTGCCTGCTGTGGGCAGGGTCTGCTCTGGTCATCCATAGCAGCCCTGTCCACAGTAGGCCAGAGCATCCCACAGGCGGGGGCTGCTCCCGTGTCCAGAGCAGCCTCTCTCCATAGGGAGTCTGGGTGCCCTACAGGCAGGGACCCCCTCTCCCGTGCCCCCTTTAACCAGTTAACCAATGAAATGGGATTTTATATCTGTATCTTGCATGTGCACACAGACACGCCGGCATACACAAAACACAAAATGCAGGCATGCATGCACACATGCAGTCTTGCATGAACATGTGCTCAATCGTGAACTCATGAAACTGCATGGACACCACTGTACACATACTCTGGTTGACTTTCCCTTGCCACCTCCACATCCCCCAGCTAATCTCTGCACCAGGATGATGTGGATGGTGAAAACACCATGCCCTAGTGCAAACAGGGACTGAAGGGGTGGACCTCTGCACTAGTGCAAGACGTATAGCCTGTCTAGTTGAGTGTATGTGTGGGAGGCTGTGGAGCCCTTGTGCACAGCTGGGATTGGGGCCGGGGGAAGAGGAGGGTTTATGTGTCTGGCTGACCATGCCAGGTCCACTTAGGCCCAGATGTGTGGGGAGCCTTGGGCTATACAGATAGGAGATGGATCAGGCTGGCCAGATGTATGTGGGAGGGGTATTCAGATGTCTGGTGGGGCTGGGTGCAGCAGAGGCTTCCTTCCCTGTTTCATCCACATGTTTGTGAGACCTGCAGCCATTGGGGAAGGCTGTCCGAGTTCCATGTCCAGATATGCTTGTCTCAGGACACCATCCAGATATGTCGGGGGTCCCTGGGACCAGCTGAGGCCAGCTCTACAGATGCATTCTCCTTCTGGGAGGCCATACAGATACCCTCCTTCTGGGAGGCCACACATAGGCTTTGTCCTCCCACCTCCAGCACCCGGCTCCTCATCTCCTCTCCCTTCTCTTTTCTGCAGGTGACTCAGCACCGCCATGGACATTGGCGGCTTGGAGACGGTGGTGGCCAACTCAGCCTATGTGTCAGCCCGGGGCAGCGTGGATGCCAGTGCGGCCTCCACTTTGCGGGACAAGAAGATGCGGGCAAAACTGAAGCTGCCCCACATCACGCAGTGTGAACACCTGAAGGACCAGATGGACCTGAACTTCCAGAGCATCTGCCTCCGGCAGCCCATTGGCAAGCGGCTCTTCCAACAGTTCCTGGAGGACCAGGAGGCATTCAAGGCGGCTGGCGGACTCTGGAAGAGCATGGAGGAGTATGCAGCGTCCGAGGAGAACGAGAGGACCCAGAAGGCCCAGAAGACTGTCAACCAATTCTTTGACTCAGCCTCCAAGACCTTCTGCTCCTTCCTGGAGGAGAAAGTCGTCATGAGGGTCAAGGAAGATGCCAAGCATGGGCGAGCAGACCTCTTCAAAGAGACAGAACAGCACCTGTTGAAGCACCTGGAGGACCAGGCCTTGGCCAAGTACAAGGACAGCTTGTTCTTTGCCCGCTTCCTGCAGTTCAAGTGGCTGGAGGGGCAGAGTGTGACGGAGGAGTGGTTCCTGGATTTCCGGGTGCTGGGCAAAGGGGGCTTTGGTGAGGTCTGCGCCTGCCAGATGAGGGCCACCGGCAAGATGTACGCCAACAAGAAACTCAACAAGAAGCGGCTCAAAAAACGCAATGGATATGAGGCAAGAGCTTGGGGGGGGGGGGGGGGGGGCAGAGCCCAAGGCTAGGAGCCAGGACATCTGGGTTCCATCTCCAGCTCTGGAAGAGGAGTGGGGGGCTGATGGATTAGTTCAGGGGAGGGTTAGGGAACCAAGACTCCTGGGTTCTCCCAGCTCTGGGAGGGGAGCTGGCTCTTCTGAGTGCATGGCCTTGGGTCCAGTTGGCTGGGGCAGAGCCGTGTGGGCTGCTGTGTACAGGATCCTGGGTGCCAGGGTGTCTTAGGTGGCGTGGGGCACAGGTGTGGCCTCGAGGGCTCTCTGATGTGCCTGCAGCTGGGTCGCTCCATGGGCTAGGGGTTAGTCTGGAGGGACACAGCCCCTCTCCCCTCCACAGAGATGTGGGGCTATGGTGACCCGCCTTGTTTCATTACTGGGTGCTCAGGAGGCTGGTGCAGATCCCAACTTCCTTTGCATTGCTCCCCACTTCTATGGAGAAGGGACAGCGGGGCACATGGATGGGGGGACTGAGGAGGGATGGAGGGTTTGGTATAAAGATTTTTACTGCCTTCTGATTGGTTAGTGCAAACATCTCCCACAGTTTGATTGGCTATTGAGGAGCCATCCCTGGGTCTCCTCATTGGTGCTGGGGCCCAACTCAGCTGGGAGAGACAGGAGCCAGTCTTGGGACAAGGGAGCTAGATTGAGAGCCTGGTCTTTTGGGTTCTCTCCCTGTCTCTGGGAGGAAATGAGGGTTAGAGCTTAGCACAGGGGGACTGGGAGCTGGGACTGTCTCTTGCGGTGTTTTCACACCATGGCATTGGCGTGTCTGCTGCTTTCACAACCCAACACTTTCAGTGGTTTGATATTTGCTAAAGGCAGTATCTGCTAATTGTGCCATGTGGCCCTGCCCAGAGAGAAGGAGCCTGATTTCCTGGAGCAAGGAAGTGGGGTAGACAGTGTCCTGCAGAGGTGTGTGTGTGTAATTTAGGGGTTGCCCAACTACATATATTACCTGGATGTTTCTGTAGTCATCTGGGAGAAGTGTGGGACGTCATCGGTAGGTTTCAGAATTAACATAATCAATTGCAATGCATGAGGCAACTGCCTTCTCTAACTGCGAGGGTCTCAGGCAGCTGAAGCTAACCCCAAACAGCCGAGGTCCCCAAACAGCTAACCCCAAACAGCCAAGTCTGAGGCGGGGATCATAGGATTCCGTCTGTAATTCTCCATATCAGTGACATCAGAATTGTTCTGTTACCAATGAGGAAGGAACGACCGGAAGCCATCTGGGGGGCAGTAGGTGGGGAGCAGTTCAGACACAGCTTTACTTTGAGATTTAGGGTTCAGCTTGAAAAGGCAGGGGCAGGGGATACCAGCCTGAGCCCTGCCATTGGAGTTTGGGGTGCAGGGCTGAGGTGAGATATGTGGGAGGTTTGGGGGTTCGGTCTGAGTTTGAGAGGGAAGACTGAGGGGCTGAGCTGAGTTTGGAAATAGCCATTCGAGGGGGGTGGCTGTAAGATGCAGGGCAAGGTTGAGGGGTTCAGACTGTGTGAGTGTGTGCATGCGAATGATTGCTTGTGCGTGGGGGGGGTGAGAAAGAGAGAGCTCCCCACTTAGCAAAGCCCACCATGGCCTAACACACACATCCCTACACCAAAGCCACACTCAGTTTGACACACACAGGACTTGATGCA